GGGGGGGGGGGGGGGGAGCCCTCACTATCGATCCTCATCGAATCAAAGGGGCCAATAGCCCTTCATCGATTTCCATGATCTACTTTGAATGCAGCCGGTCGCCCTTGAGCACATGGTATTACAACACTCAGCACTTGGAATCGTTAGCCCAGCCTATTTGAGGTGGTGCCAACCCTTCGGGCGACAGCGATCTACCAGCTTTCTGGTTCAGTCCCCCTTCTCTTCTTCTTTTGATGTATTCTTTGGCTATTATGTAAAAGTGTGCATCGAAATCCTACAATTTCTCATAAGATATCCTAAACTACATCGCACAGGATCAAGTTTGGACCGTCATCAGTCTGATATCCTAACCATTTACAAAAATTTAATACTTATTTGTATTGGTAATGTAAACTTTATTTTTGATTGTTGCAGTGGTATGAGCAGCAATGGCAGATCATGGAATGAGGAACTGGAAGTCATCAAGGTAAGTTTTTGCTGAGGGAAAGCTTCTTCCACGGCGAGTATGGTGGCAAAGTTTGTTGTCTAGACAGGCATCGTTCTTTTATCATTTTTCAAATGAAAAGGCCACTAAAAACAGCCTGATCTTCGTCCTATTCCTATTGATACAGTAGGAAAAACTTTCTCTTTATATTTTAGGGATGTGCTGCCACTATTCTCTATAGAAAGCGAAGGAGCGCCAGGCTGCTTCCAACTACAGCTCAGCTTGAAGACCTAATGAGAGAGAATCGTAGGTTCACTTCATACTTTAGCATTACAAGTTGGTGGCTCCAGTTTCGCTGTCGTTTTTGATATCATGGACATGAGCTTCGTACCTTCTGCAATGCTATTTTAGAGATATGTCGTTTGAAAGAGATGGTAAAGCAACTATTGCCGTCTTCTGATACTGTTGGCGAGCATTTATCCTGTACTGACTTCCACTCTGATTTTGGACAATTTATTTACAACCCGCTTCGAAGTCGAACTCCACGTTATCGCCTGAATCGGTAAGCTTTCTGTTCGCTTTATCACTTCCTTTCTTAATTTATGAACTCTTTTTTATTGAAAAGATCAAATAGGAAAGCTATTCAGAGGTCTTTTTTAGGTATTTGCCCTTTGTTTGAAAGTATTCTTAATTTCCTTTTACTGCTGTATTAAACATTTGCCAGGCACCGAGTTTTCTTTGCAGTGATATTTCATGTGGGCAGGAAGTGTTTCCTGTACGGGTTTATTCGGACACTGGTAATTGTATTCCTCCAGAAGAATTCACTTATATTTCATCCTGTGATTTTTCAATGTTCAAAGAAAATGATATATCAGAACGGACGCGAGATTTGCTGACGGTGAGTTTATTCGCCGTGCAATTCGTAGTGCAATTTACAACTTGTATTTCACCTTGCATAAACTAAGAGCAGGCTCACACTTTGGAAAGGTTGTGTCCTCGCTAATTCCAGGTTAAATGTGACTGTGATGACTTGATATGTGGCGAGCTATGTTCTTGCAGAAAAATGAACGATATGCTTACATACTGTACTATAATGGTAGGTGTTATTATGATTTTGGTAACCAAAAATCTCGGGAGAAAATCAACCAATGGTGGGAATAACACTTTGCCGGTGCAGGCTATTGCGTGTCTTACTTGAAAATCAATAATTTCAGTCAAAGGAAATTCATATTTGCTTCCATAAGGTTTTTAATTGAGTAGATTGAAGAAAGTACATGCTTCATCGTTCTCATTGATTATTTCAGGGAGACGGAAGAGTTTTCGTCAATTCTAATGCAACTTTTTTCAACACCTTGATTGTAGGATGTGGGAGCAAGTGCTCTTGTAAAGGCCAGTGTAAGAACTCCCTTCGGGCCACTTCTCTTCCCGCTCCCTTCAGGTATTTCTACTTCGGATTAGATTCCAGTGAACGTCGTTATTTACTTTCATAATTAAGATTCGAAGTTTTCCGAAGAAGTGATAATCTCGGCTTCGGGTTGCGGACACTAAGCAATATTCCTCAAGGTAAAAGCTAAGTGGATATTTTCTTATCCAATACGAAATTTTTTGGTTTTTTGAAGTCCTTTCCAAGACCACCTCGTATCTTTACCTTGACCTTTTTACATCAAACTGTACACTCGCAAGCTAGCTTTTGTGTTACGTTGTCTTTCCCGCACGCGAGCCAAAATGCCATCAATCCACTTCATGAACATTTCGGGATTACTAGACTATTGTCTTGAATCATGGTCATAACGGCTAATAAGCTAAAGGTCGCACCCTTGTGACCCTTGTATAACATTAAGATGAAAAAGCTGAGGAATTGAATCGTATATGATACTACTGTAGTAACGGCTGTCATTTATAGGCTGCGCTGTCGTTGAATTCTGCGGAGAAGTTGTTAAGGTTCGTTTGCCTCAGAGAGTTCTTCAGTAACAATGATAGGTTTTATTGTTGGTGATGAACATATTTCAGAGTCAAGTATTGAGTAGTAGAGGGCAAGAATCTTTGGACTATTCCTTTTGCCTAAACTCATGGGAGGAGTCAGAAATCTACGAAAGGCTTGCCTCAGCAAAGAATATTAAGGTTTGTGTGGATTTTATTCTATTGTACAAGGGGGATAGTGTTTTTAAAGGGAATGTTTCTGAAATAATAGCAAATGATTTTCATGCTTTGCCTGTATTGCACAGCTGGCGCTTTTTTTTACAGAGCGAGGCGTTCAAAGTGTTGAATGAAGTCGCTTATATCGATCCAACGAGGAAGGGTAATATTGCGCGCTTCATCTCTCATGGATGTTTTCCAAACCTCATCATGTTGAGGTTTGTCACTTAAGCAATTGGACAGCTCGCGACCTTTTTTTTTGCAAATATGATAATTTCAAACGACATTGTCGAGCTCAGGCACAAATTTGAAACCACAGAGTATTCGAATGCATGTTTGTTATAGAAGGAGGTCATAAAATAAGGTTATTATAAGTGCCGTGCAAGCCAAGGACAGTGAGCTCACGCTTGAAAGGTGCAGGGTCTATCAACTCGGGCTTAACTCTATTTCTATGGGCAAATGAAATGTCATTTTAGCTTCCATGTTACTTCCTTTCACAGAGGGTGGTCGCACTCGTAGGGAGGGGCGCCAAAGCACTAAAAAGAAGGGGACATATTAGCAGTACGTTAGCAGAGGACAGAAGATGGCGGAAGATGGTCACTGGGGAAAGGGAAGAACGCGTAGTTCTAGTAAAGCTTAAAAATAGTTGGAGTGAAGGCCTTTTGAACCTTTGTTCGGTCCGCGTTATAATTTTTTNTTTTTTGCTGATTCACTCACCTTTTATTCAGATACGCTGAGAACGATCTGCGTCTCCATCATTCTCGAGCGATCCTTTTTGCAACGCAACCTATTCTAGGAGGTACAGAGGTATAAGGAAAACATTTCTTGTAACACTTGTGAAAAGCCCTTTTTTACTTTTACGAGTAAATGATTAGTTTAATGACTATTTTTATTTGTTCATATCTCTTGACCGGGTCCGTTTAGCTGTTCTTTGACTATGGAATCAACTACTTGAACAGAGCTGGATTTAAGTGTGAATGTGGAACAATGTGGTGTGACAGTGTGACAGCGCGTTGGCGCTCCTCCTCTCTCACTCAGGAAGAGGTTCGTGTTGTTTGCTTCTCTATAGTCCATTGGTTTGTTGCTTATTGCTATACTTATTGTTCGTTAAGTGGCGCAATATTATAACGCAAAAGTCCTTGGAGTATTTTTCTTATGTGAAGCAGCGCATGGAACTCTACGACTCAAAGGCAAAGCAATTTCTTCGAAATGAAGGCATTGTTCGTCCTGAGTACGGTGAGATAATATTGAAGGCTGGAATTTTTTTTCCCATATTCTCTACCCTACAGCGTTAGCGGACAAGGCGAGCCTCATTGTATTGTAATGCACAGCAATCACATAGGGTTCGCTTCCAAAATTTGCAGCCCCTTACCAGAAATGATTTTCGCCGGTGCTTTGAAAATGTTAAGAACATCTTTTTGGCATCCAATATCGAGCTACATAGACCGGTGTACAATTGAAGATCATCCTGAGCGTAAATGTTATGTGTGAACTTAGCCCATTTAGGAATTTTTAACTACGCAGTGAAAACGTTCTATAAAGTTTTTGGCTCCTGTATGACTATAGCTCACTTACAAGCGACCAACGAACATTAAATTGAGCTACTTAGTATTAAATAAGCTTTACTCTGCAATGCGCACGCTTCCACCAGCGTCACACGGTTGTAGGGCATACGCCCACACGAAGTTCAGTGGTCGTGTGCGGCTGCGACATTGACTGGTCCTCCCTGTACCTCGCCCGTTAAACCGACAAAAGATCTTTAGTATGGAAGCTAAANAAAGCTTGGCAGTACGTTGCTGTTTATAAAATTATCGTGAATTACAAGACGGTACTTTTCAGATGATCTAGACGAGCCGTTCCTTGGAGCTCAGTCGAGTCTCTCAAGGTAAATAATTCTTTTTTTGGTCCTTCTTACAACAATTTAATATCTATTTTAGGATCGATCCGGCATGTGTTCATAAGCGTGTTGGTGAAAATGTAGGTCTTTTTTACAGAGCCTTCTTATTTGCCTGGATGCCTTCAATACTTAGCCTTTGTTTTCAGGAACCTGTTATTTGTTATAATCTTTATTGCCGCAGCCTTTCCAAATGTACCTGCAAACCACTCGTCAGGGTTATTCCTACAATTACACTTGACTAGAATTCTTTCATGTTATTTTTCTTTTTGCAGAATCCATCTTGAATTGGGGGTTTTTCAAAGGCACAGTTCACGTAAAAATGGTTTCTGAGATTTCCCACTAAGACGAACCTTGTTCTTCAAAGATGGGGCTGCTGTCGGGTCGAAAAACAGTCAAGATGGGGCGTAATAAAAGCCCCTCAAACCGGTTTAGCCGACATTCACACCCAAGGCATATGAGTTGTCAAGCGTTGTGAAAGCTCTACTGGTTGCACCATTTGCACCGGGACGCACACCTTACACGCAGGCAGCTTGCTCTAGCCAGCTGTATGCAATGGCGCGCACATTCGGATAGCTCGTCCAAATACCTCTTCCATGCGAATTCTGTCGTACAATCCCTTCCAGCCCCTGAGTACTACTTTTTTGGAACCATCTATTGCTCTAATACGCCGAGATTCGCACCTTCTTCGCCACTACTGCACTATTCTGGACAATCACTTCCATTGCGTTTATCACGTCCAAAGCTAGACCACTCAGAACGACCGGCTGAAGCTGCGCTCTCCTCCTTCTTGTGGTATAATTGACCCGCCGCCCGTATTATCCTAAGTTTGAAAGCTCTGGTCCAAGAGAACAGAATCTATTGGTTTTCGGCGAAACACACAAACACCGACACACTTCGTGCCTGTCTTGAGCGGAGCCTTGCTCAAGTGCTGCGTGTTTAAGTAAAATACTTCAGTCCTTTCTTATTTAAACTTTACTGAGTGTTTTCACTTAGGTTGCACTCATTTCACGCATGGTCCGCTCTCTCCACAACTCCTACGCCCCTCCAATTCTCTCCTTCGGTGCCCATCGCTGTACTAGTCCTTCCTCCTGTACTCGTGCCAAATTTGAACGCCCTACGTCTAAATTAGTATTTTCTCGCACGTCCCGCCCTTTAAGAGCAGAGTCAGGTCTTGCCAGCACCCATCAGCAATCCCCTCCTACCGCCTGCACACTTTCTAAATTTGAACACCCCAGGTTCAAGTTGACAATTTTCGCTCACGCCCTACCCGTTGTGGGTGGGGTGTAGGGGTACCAACTATCATCACTGTACCACAATGTCGCCTGTACTCCTGCAAAATTTGAACATTCTGTGTTCACGGGGACGGGCGTCGTGAATTTTACCTCAAACATTTATTTCGCGCGAACCCCGCCCCTTTGGGCGGAGTCTAATCCTACCACCTATCTTCAGTGTTCCCATTCTGCCGCCTGTACACTTAGCAAATTCGAATGCTCCTTGTCCAAACTGCCAGTTTTCATGGACGCCCCCATTCATATCGCGCAGACCTCGCTCCTTTGATGGGGTCCTCTACTCCCACCTGCCATAAAGGTTCCCTTCCTGCCACCGTGTATTCATACAAAAAATGAATGCTCTTAGTCCCAGAATTCGAATGCTCTAAGCCCAGTGGGACAGGGTTAATTAATTCGGTCAAACAACACACACATGCACACAAATACACCAACAAGTTACTTAGCAGATTGTATAAATAGGACCAGTCGGGCCGCTCAGCTAACGCCGGGCTTCCCTTCTTCTTATGGTGTCGCCGGGCGCTCCTTTCTGTAAGGAATTCGCTATACGTAAAACACTCCAGATTTTCCTTTTTCCTTGAAAGCTCTACACCCCCACTGTTGGCTCCGAATCAGGAGCGATTTTTTCTGTACTAAAATTGATTTTATACTAATTAGAAGTCTCGATTCATTGCGCTTCATCTCGAAAATTTGTCATATTGATGGCCTAACTGATAGACAACCAATGTCTTGAATGGTCAGTGTCAGTGTTTGATCATAAAAACATTTTGCTCTCTAAGGCCCCTTATCACTTCTTATCAGTTGTTATCAGTTCCTGTCACAGAGTATCCACGAACACGTCACATCCTACTTCGCCGTCTTTGAAAAGGCTCCACTATTGACACGAAGGGGATTGCAACGCTTGCTCGCTTGTTATTATCTGTCCTTATCACTGATTAACTTCGGCCCCTTCACATCCTGCACTATCTACTGGAATGCTCAGTTGTTAGTATGAAAACTGTTGTAGACTTATTGGCTCTCGCCTCCTATCAGTTTCTATCAGTCTCCAACAGTTTTCCGAAGTGCCAAAGCTCTGCCGTTAACAGGAAGTAACGGTTCCTGTGGCTCTCGCATTTCAAAGCTCTTTATCAACTCCTTTTAATTATTATCAACGCTTATCACCTACCATCAGTGTTCCTATCCTGCTTCCTGCACTTCTACGTAATTTCAACGCAATAAGACCACGTAAACAGGAGCTATGAATTTGCGACCTGAAATTTATCGCGCACACCGCGCCCCCTGTGGGCGGAGTCCGGTCCTGCCGCCTGCCATAAGTGCTCCCATGCTGACGCCTGCATTCCTGCCAGATTTGACCTTTCCAGGTCCAGGGGAACAGGAGTTATGAATTTCCGGTCAAACACACCCCGACACACACACAAACATACCGACACACCAACAGACACACTTAGCGAATTATATAAAGTAGAATAACCCAAATTCATTGTGCATTGTGCCTTTAACTTATTGGTTAATCAGAAGTTGCTCTAAAGCTGCTCAGCTAGGCGAAACTATCTGAACTGCAATTTGGAGAGAGAAAGCAAGGTAATAGTAACTGAAATTTCGAGGGTGACGTTCAGTCAGCTTCATATTTGTTATTTTTAGGATCCAAGTATGAGTTACCTATTATTATCACATTATATATTATACTAGAATCAGCTATTGTTTTGTTGATCTTTGAATATACCTCTACTAAGGTTGTTTTTATTTCGTAGAAATCGAACCGTGTTCCGTTTCGTGTTTTAACCTGAAAATGGCTCCAGTAGGAAAGACACTTTACAGCTGCAGTAAATGTAAACAAAGTTTGAGTTTGATGTGCAATTGGCAAATGAGAAATACCGAGTGCCGATTCCGAATTGTTCATGATGCATACGAAGTGATTAGGGTAAACCCGTTCCATGGTTTGTAGGTGTCGAAGATACGAGTAAATTGTTCAGCTCTTACGCTGTTTATGAGTACAATCATACGTTGTTGTCACCAAATAAATTTGCCCCATGGGAACATGGAACGAAATTAGCAGCCATGCTGGGAAGCTGGGACGTAGTGGAATAAAGTTTCCAATGACAGCCTCTATGAATATATACCGCTTCCGAGAAAAGTTCTTTCGTTCTTCTTTTGAAAACAGTAGAAATACAGATTTGGTTTGGACCGTTACGAGTTGGACTACTGTTGGTCCTGACTAGCTCTTGTTATTTCTCCATNCATTTTTAGCCGTAGTAATGTTATACTACAAAAATGGAACTCGTTTCATATGTCTTCATTGAAAATTGAGTTGTATGAAAATATCTGAACATGAGAAAGGTAAAAATTTGTTGAAAAAACTTCACAACAAAAAACGTTAAGAAAACGTTTTCTCCAGTAATAAGTAAATAAAATCAGGATATATGCCTATCACAACAATAGCAAACAAATATTAGTAACACTTAATTTGTTAGTTGACCCTCATCATTAGTGAATCAAAAAATACTTCTTACTTCAGTTCATTTGGCATCAACTCCATCGATCTGGAAAATGTCGAGCAGTTTTTTTATATTCCGTACATGGAGTTATAGAGCTGCTTCGAACCTCTACAATATTTTCAGAATCTAGGAGGAACATATCACAATCGTTCACACGCTTTTTTCGTGTCGCCCACATGCTGAAAATAATGTACTGAGTAGGAGCTTAAAAGATATGATGAACATACCCTATTTCTGCTTTCCCTATCAGTTTTGCGTCGATAAGTCCCTCTAACCTCTTAGCCGGAGCCATCATCTATAAAGAGTGAAATTGGTGCTGTGATGCCAGCACTGAAAACAAACTTAAGGATGAAATCTTACCGGTATGTTATGCATACAATTCAGCAAAAAATAATTATCATTACCAACTTGAACACGCTTTACATTTCCTGGGATGCTAAGATCACAACGAAGAAATATCTAAAGCGCTCATAGAAGTATTTATAAAAGCCATCCACACCAAGAAATGTAACCACAATTCCTTTCAAATCAATCAATGGAATACTTACCTGGAGCAAATTACAAACAATGCGCTGATCCCACGGCTCAACAGGAGGGTGACGTTGCGGAACAGTACATATTTCGGTGGCAATGTGTGAGAAGTGAGGTGGTCGAACATCGTCGTATTCTCTCTGACGGCGGGGTTCACACATAACATTAATCCACTGGCCCAACTTGAGAAACCTCATTCCACCAGTAATGCACAGAGAGTTTCTGGAAATGCCATCTTATAAACGAGAAATCCAGTTGTCTTCATATAAAGACTAAGAGCGTTTGATCATAGAAGTAAACATCAATCAATGCCGAGAGCATCACAAACCTCAACAGCTCACTTGCAATAAGAACCTTGTGAACGCCTGGAATGGGAGCAAAACCAATAACATGATCTTCTCTGATTTTCACTATGCAGCACCATGCAGGTAAAGCATTCTATAAGTGAGCTTTTTACAAAAAAAGGTCGATTAAATATAGTTAGGAAACTAATGCGTGTTTCACGAAAGCTCACTCTTCCTGCGGGTTGCTCCGATGTGACATCAATTATGGTTTCATTATTGGGTGGCAATTTGGGAGGTATCCACTTTGGCACATCGCTGCAGCCTAGCCCAAGCGGGCTTGGACTTCCTGAGGTAGCCTGTTGATTTACTGTCGCCATACTTCGAGGTCGCGCATGGTGTGTAGAATAGTCAGAAGAAGGCAATCTCTGCAAACGATTTCAACGAAACCATTTCGAGTTTGAATGAATCTCAAACCTACCGTGGGTTCAGAAAAGTTATCAGGATAATCATTAACATTATATGATGAAGTACTTGCTTGCCTGAAAAAGATTTATAATCGTTGGTTGCAAGGCTGACGAAGGTAATATCAACAACATTTTCTTGTTCCACCCTCTCTCGCTCCCAGTTGTGTGACGGCAAGTAAGGGCTGTCATCAAGGACTGTTTATCCCTATCAATGTTTGCTGGGAACCACTATTTGATAATTTCCGTTCTATAAAAGGTGTTTTTGAAGTAGATCCACCTACTTCGATCATTCTCGTTCGTTCTCATCCTTCTTAAAGATCTACTTCCACGGGACCGCTATATTGACGAGTAAGTTTACGCTTATCGAAAAAAGTCATACTGAAGATAAATCGAGTCAATGTGGGCACCTTAAGTCATTAAATGACAGCGAAAGTTTATCCATACGTTCTCTAGTCGAGTCGCTTTCGGTGTGGGGGTTACTTCCGGATCTTCGATCGAATCTGCTTCTCACATTCCGTCCTTCAACTGGAGGGCATTGCGCAGCCTTATAAATATCAACATTCAAGGGCGGTCATTGACAAAACACTCAGAACACTTTGAAAATAAATTCTGTGATGCCAAACGCATCTCTGCACTTACCCTACAATAATTGGAATACTGTCATACAAAACCCCGTAGAATTCAATTAACTATGTTTTGATGGTAAAATCTGCTCTATAGCAATGAAGAGCCTCTCCTTATATGGAGTTGGTTAGTAGTAAATAAATAAATAAATAAATATATATATATATCAACATTTATTTATTTATTTATTACTAACCAATTCCATATAGGAAAGAGGATGTTCACTGCTGCGAGATTATTTGAGATTCTCTTGTAAGCTGTCAACAAACTGAAAGAAAATCAAACTTGGTGCAGCTCATCCGCGCAAGGCCTGTTCTCGGTCATTTCGAGCTCATTATCGACAGGTTGCGAACAGAACTGAAACTGTGGAAAGTTGTGTTGTTGAGGGCAAGAACAACATTTAAGTAAAATAACATTTGATAGATCAATGTCATCACGCCATTCACCGAGCAGCCTTCGTAACCACCATGAGTCATTCACGAATTCCACCTGAACAATGAATGGTTGATCCTAACGCAAATAAATCCTGATTTTCAACTGAAGATACTTGAAACGCTGTATCAAAAACAGCGAGAGAATTTCGTTGGTACCTCAACAAGAGCTCCTTTCTCAAAACGAGAGATCAGAAGTTTTTGCGACATCTCCTCCTCATCAACCATTATGTAGCCAATGTCGTCAGCGAAAAAGCTCGCTTCATTTGTATGAGAAAATTCGATGAAAGCACGCAGAGTAAGCTGGAAAAAAAGACACAAGATATATAAAAAGTCCAACATGACATACTTTCTCCGGAATGAAGAAAGGAAAACTTGGAGAAACGAAAGGAACACTAACAATAATAGCGTGATCAGCTAACTTCCCTGTCCTAGCCGACCTTTTCACAAGCCGTGCATGTGTATGTTGAGGAGTCGCAATGTTTTTGACCAAACGCAGATAACGACTGCACAAATATCCTTCAGAAGAATACTCTCCTACGTACTGCAGTCTGGAAACTACTTTATACACCAATAAAATGAGGTTTCGAAGCCTCATAGGCACGTCAAGGGAACTAGCCTAATCCAGACACCCATGGGCAGCTCCATTTCACCATCGCATCGAAACGCTTTCTTATGGGTTTTCGAAAAGATGATGTAAAACTGAACTTTGTTCCCATTGACTTTTCGGAAAACAACTATCGCATCCATACTTAATGTGCTCTGGAAAAAGGAAGATGAACGTAGAATGTCGTGAAGGTATTGGCTGATGAAGACATACATTGCCAACTGAGAGGAGCTCCATATTCGTTCTTTTCCCATTTGTTACTAGCCGACCTGATAGAAACAAAAAGGTTGATATGGACAATCCATTAAAGCAAAGAAGAACGACTGCAGCGAACTTTTCCGCAATAAACAAAATTGTTAAAGACGATAATCTAGGAGTAGGCATAGCTCGAACTCGAAATAGAATCGCCATATCGTAGTGACTTGAAGACAGAAAAAAAA